TTAAAGCATGTCAGCCACTGAGCGCGATGCAATATCATGTGGAGCAGCAAGGTGGCGCTGTACGTCTGTCTCTGTCACCTGCATCTGCGTGCTCTTATTTTAATGTACTATGGGCTTTTGTATTAAATAAATGAATGTCCTTTTAAGATCTGTATCAGTCCTGTTGTTTCCTTCACCCCAAAGAGATATTTAAATATCAGAATTAAGGAATGCTGTGAGTGAACAACATGTATATCACTATGGCTGATGAATGAATATAGTATGATGATGAAAAAATAAATAGATGAAAGTCTACAGTGGCCGAGGCTGTTGAAGGTTTGAAGAGACGGTTTGAAGTGCGAATAGGATGAGAATGAAAGAGTTTTCAGTTGGGTTCATTTTGTCTCGCAAAGCTAGCATCGCATAATAGTATCTGCTAAGTTAAGCTAAAAATCTTGGGTAATGTAAAAGATGGCAAGACAAGTCGCATTCTTTACATGAGGGAGGACAATCAGCTGAATCAGTTCTTCATTCCTCTGCGGGATCACTGTTACCCTCTGCAACTATTACATATTATTTATATTTATAGATTATGATATCATTTGGGTGCATCATACATGAGGAGACATGTAGATAATTCAATGGAGATCTTTACTAACAGAATGCAGCAGCTGACGAACTAACACACCCCCTGCTCTCCATCTCTGTGCATCCCAGGCCAGAGGTCACCCATATGCAAACCCCTTCCGCCCTCTACTGGACAACCTTGACGATAGCATCCCATTTACTATATACTGTAACTTACTATTACATACTGTGTAACTATATATACTGGACTTATGTTTACTGAAGACAGTGTATTACAGATGGAGCGCCTGTTTACCTGCGCCACACGGTTTAGCGACGCCGGCGCCGGAGCGTTTAGCGGGAGCACAAGCGCGAGTTTCTGCGGCCGCTCAACCGGTGCGTGTCCACTGGCGCGGAGCGGAGAGCGCGTTTTCAATTCATTCCTATGGAACTCGAGCTTCACGCTCGAGCATTGCATTATGGGATTGACAGCGGTTAGGAGAAAGCGTTGAGAGCGACCGAAAGCGTCTAAAAGGTTGGCCAGTTCTTGACTTAATGCAAATATCAAGCGAAAAATGCGGTCGGCGGCTCCCGAGCAGAGAGAGCGTCAAAAAGAGAGAGGAAATTGTGTGTGTTCATCTGAGCCCATTGGTCTGTCTGTCACTGCTCGTCAATGTCAGAATATTTGAGATGACCAATCAAATCAAAGTAGGCGGGCTTTACATTCACAGGCGCTGAGCGCGAATTTTAGCAGCACGACTCGACGCTTGATTCAGTGCACGGGCGAGTGCGAGATAAGATGTAAGTTGCTAAACTTATAACGTTATATATTTGACATTTTTTAGGTCATAAATGTTAAACGAATGACAAAAATAATCAGGAAAACTAATTTAGTTTTGTCTAATTTCGCCCTTTTGAACTGAAATTAGGCATGTAACGTCAGCCTAATGTAATCATTCGTTTATTACTGTCATTGTGAGGGGACAAAAACATTAACAAAGCCGTTTTCATCATGTTAGCAAACTGAGATTGAATCAACGTGGAAACATGACATCGAAACAACGTTGATCTGACATTGTTTTGCTCATCGAATTAACGTTGAACCAACGTCAGACGCGCCATTCTTCAAAACTAACGGAAAATCAACTTGAAATCAACATCGTTTCAACGTTAGGAAAGCAAACCAATTGCGTCGATTTTCCGTTAGTTTTGAAGAATGGCGCGACGTTGGTTCAACGTTTATTCGATGAGCAAACCAATGCCAGATCAACGTTGTTTCGATGTCATGAGAAACGTCGTTTCCACGTTGATTTAATGTCAGTTTGCTATCTGGGTAGGTACAGGATTAATTGATGTATTAATGTATTAATTGTATCAGTAATACAAATTGTAGCCTTTAAGGGCACGAGGAGACTGAAAAAAGAAAGGATGATGGAGATGAGGAGAGAGTCTACTGACATAGTTTTAAAGCTATTTCTTATCCTTTTTTTTTGGTCTTCAAACGTTTTGAAATGCACTTATCAGAGATTAAAAAATGTAACCCCCAAACCTCCACCTCAAATGTAGGTCCTCTTTGATTATAAAGCCCTGTCTACAAGGCATCAGAATCAGAAAGATCTTTATCTCAAGTGTGCTTGCACACAGAAGGAATTTGTTTTGGTGCTAATGTTTCCAGTGCACATATACAAATGTGTGATAAGGCATGAGATCAATAATGAATGTGTAGCCTTTAATGTGAATTAATTTTATAAACTTAGTTACCTTTCCTAGTAGTTTTCAGTAAATGAACACGTCAGAGAAAATGATTCATAGGCAAAATCAACCAGTTGGCCCCCATGTTTTCTTACTTCATTGTCAGATAAAAACGAAAAGCCTATTATCAGTCAAAGCTCAACTTTAGGAGGGCAAGAGAAAAACAAAGAGAAAAAGAGTGTGATGCAGATTAAGAGAGAAAAATAATCAGCTGCCCAATGACATGGTTTTATCAAAAAAAAAAAAAAAAATTGCCTTCAAAACATCTTAAAATGCACATATTAGTTCAGAGAATTAAAAATTTTCTCTGGGAAACCCCGAACCCCCCTAACTAACACAACTCAAATTCAGGTCAGGACTACAGTGATTATAAAACCCTTCAATTGCATGGTATGAAAGTGAGCATTAGACCCTAAATTAAACTTTGACCTATTTTATTTTAATCATACCCTCATTGGGGGCTTAGCCCCCCTAAAAGGAAAATCCTAGAATCGCCCCTGGTTTACACCACATCACTGAATCACACACATCACTGAACATCACTGCATGTTTGATTGACAGGTGTAGGCTGCATGTTTGATTGACAGGTATAGGCTGCATGTTTGATTGACAGGTATAGGCTGCATGTTTGATTGACAGGTGTAGGCTGCATGTTTGATTGACAGGTGTAGGCTGCATGTTTGATTGACAGGTGTAGGCTGCATGTTTGATTGGTCTGATATGTATGCTCCACAGAAGATGCATGTTATGATTATTAAGCAGATGTGAAGTTGTGGTGTTTTTGTGGCGCCACCTATTGGCAGAACAGGCACAATGTCCTGGTGCTTATCATTCCCATGTTGTTTTGCTTCGTGCGCTAAAGGCTCGTGTGTGTGCTGTGTGTTGTGTGTGTTATTCCGTCCAAAGCTGTGCCAAAGACTCCTGTGCTGTTACTGGTTTAGTTCATGGTGAATTTGAAGCTGCTTCTGTGAAATTTGAAATCATAATTTCTGGCATGGCAAATATGTGGTTATATATGAGGCTGTGTTTAACTCGTACTGTAGTTTATGATGAGACTGCTTTAGTGAAAGTTAAATTAATCCTCATGTTGATCCAAACCCGTATGACTTTCGTCCTTCTGTGGAAGGAGATGTTCAGCAGATGATGATCATCCACTGTATCTTTATTACCTTTATTTTTGGACCAGGAGAATCTCGTTGAGAAATCACTCTCTCTCGCAGAGAGACCAGGGGCCTCATGCATAAAACTTTGCGTAGATTTCATCCTTAAAGTGTGCGTACGCACATAAGGCAGAATTTGCGTACGCACAAAAGTTTTCAGATTTATAAAACCGTTCGTACGCCAGAACCTGCGCAGAATTCACTTTATAAATCCCAGTCAGCGGGAGATTATGCGCACGTGCGTCTCCTCCCCGAAATAACCATATATGGAGATTACAACGCCTAGTTTTACTATGCATATCCTCATCTGCATATCATTTGCATATGATTATTCATCCACGTGATACCAAGTTTAACGGTACAAGACGTTAGGAAAATATGAAATGCGGATGTGCCGTCACATTATTACAAACATTTTTTTTGTAGCCTATATCCTTGCCTTGTTTTTGAATGAATAAATCAAATAGTGTTAAATACATTTCAGAGAAAGTTTTTCTCAATCTTTTCCACTGGCCAAATAGTATTTTTAATTGATTTATATTTTAATGGATAATGGAAGAGATTTTAATGGAAGAGATAGACATGGTTGTGCATTATTTGCACGAAACAGTTTTCTCAGACAATCTCGTTAAAACATTAAAACACAGCATGCCAGAAGAAAAGTGTTCAAAAGCAATGTATCCACAACAAATAGGTCTTTTTCTATTTATTGAATATATATACGTATATATATATATATATATATATATATATATATATATATATATATATATATATATATATTGTAACTTCTCAGTAATGATTTCATGTAGTTTAAGAGTTTAACTCCATTAATGAGAATGGCATATTTAATCTAAATGTTTATATCAGAAGTAAAACATAGTACCATTCTTTTATTTATTTAAACTATTATTGTGAATATGGACTGTATTTATGATTTGGACTCATAATGAAGATTTACGGTTTTACTCCATCTGCCGTTAGATTATAGGCTATATGTGCGTCAGTTTCACCAAACGGCCCAACGCGCGTGCTGGCGCGGTCATTTAAGAAGGGATGGATGTTTGCTTCAAGTGATGATAGGTTTGTGAAATTATATTTGTATTATCTTTCTGTAGATGTATAATTTTCTTTAGATTCTCTGTCTAATAGTAAGCAAAAAGACATTTGACATTTGACAAAAAGACAGCTCACCATCGGTGTCGCCAAAACCCATAATCTTCTAAAAGAGTGCGTACGCACGGTCAAGAGCATCCTTACGGTGCGCACTTATTTACGCCAAGTTTATTTTTTATAAATCCCGATGTGCACGTGGAAAAATGCGTACGCATATTTCTATGCCCATTTTGTGCGTACGCAACGTTTATACATGAGGCCCCAGGTCAAGGCGGCCGCAGAGTTTCACTCGAAAGAATCACAAAATGACAGTATCACAATTCACACATTCAAGAACTAAATATATAATAGCAAATCAAGAATCAAAACAAGTGTCCTTTGAAACATTGTGTAAGAAACGTTTAAAAATGCATCTAGATTAAGTGCATTTTGCAATTTCATTCCAAGCCCGAGGAGCGTATACTTGGCAATATTTCCTCAATTCCTTTAAATGTGAAATTAGACGCGTTCATCTCAGCACTCTCAGACATTTACACCCATTAAAACATTTACACTTAGTTTCAGTCCTCTTTATTAATACTAAGTCGAATGATTAACAGATTAGTCCATGAGCCTCTAATAGTCATGCATAAATGTGTGCTCATGTAAAAAAAAGAAGAGAGATTACTAATGACAATGAATTGATATGTCTGATTTATGACATGAAGATAATATCCATGAAAATAATTCTTGAGTAAAGTAAAGTGACCAGGACTCTGCGGGGCTAGTCGTCACACGGCTCTGTGGCGCGGCACGAATAACCCTCGTCCAGCGTCAGCGCGTCAGGGTCAGGACTCGCGCTCCAGCACCGCCCGCCTCTGAACACGAGCAGGCCTCCGTCGCTGCGGGCCACGGCCGCGTCCGGACCCCAGGGCAGGCCGGCGACGAGCTGCGACACGGGTCTGGGCCGGAGCAGGAGTTTGCCGGACCGCAGTTCATCCCACAGCCAGTAATCCGACCCCTAAAGAACAGACGAGCACTAATTAGGCTTGTTCACAGAACGACTCAGACTGCCAGAACAGGCTCTCCTCACCTTGATGAAGACGAGCGCTCGCCGGCTGCTGAGGAAGAACGCCGCGTGTATGTCGGCAGGAATGCGGAGTCGTTTCGGGTATCCGTGGTCCAGTTTAAAGCCAGAGTATCTCCACACTTTATCTCCTGTGGCAATCAGGTACAACTGGTTGTTATTATTATTAGTAAATGCAACATAGACACCTCAGAACTGTTCTATATTGAAAGTACATGTTTTTATTTCTACTTTATATTTCCAAATGTATTTCTGTCTCAGCAGATCTCATTGAATTCAACACTGTGTTGGTTTACACGTCACCTTTAAGGAAATAGGACTTGTTGGTTCTTTGTGAGTGAGCGGCTGCGTTGATGTTGGCGGGCAGCTCTTTCCACAGGGCACTGATCCGAACGGGAGTGCCGTGACCGGAGTCCGAGACGGTCCACACGTACTGACCTCTGAAAGCAGACGTCTTGTGGAGAGGTCCTTCAGAGAGGAGAGAGAGCACAGGGACGTGAGGTCGAACGGCCCGCCTCGGGTGTTGGACGGGTCAGAGATGTTCTGTTACCCAGCATGAGGGCGTCCAGCGGCGCGGAGCAGGGGTCCGGCACAGACGGAGCAGCGGATGGTCTTTCCACAGGTTTTCCTGTCACAGGTGATATAAATAAGCTTTCGTCTGTGGTTAAGCTTCAGTGGAAACACGAGTCCGTGTTCTTACCGTACAGAGTCTGGATTCCACGGATGTCGTCATGGTGCAGTCTGAAGCCGTCCCGATAGCCCGTGTACACCGGACTCATGAGTGCGCTGTGGAACTGGGAGTGGCCCAGTCCGAGGGCGTGGCCTATCTCATGGGCGGCGACAATGCGCAAGTTTGTTCCGTAACTCCGCCCCTCCGTCCACACCTCATCGGCATCGAAGTGAACCGCGCCAGACTCCGGGCCCTCGGCGTGACCCAAAACCTGCCCTGAACCCCCAGAGCAACAGATGCGCATCCGCACACGCTCAACGAACAGACACGTTTCCACATCATCCATCCATTAGACAAGATTTTTCTGATTGTCATTTCAAACCCTAACATCTAACGTTTACTGTAAATGTGTAAAAGAGTGTCACCTGGTCCGTCAAAGGGAACGGGGCATCCCTGGCCTCTTCTGTGGAAGGAGAGCTGGATGTTCGCGTGACCTCTGTTGACCTCTCGGAAGTGCAGCTGAGAGACGGCGCTCCAGTAGTTGAAGGCGGACCGAAGCGCTGCTCGAGTCCGAGGCCGGCCCAGAGGAAGAGGATGGTTGTAGATGCGATAGGTCAGTCTCTTCTTACGCCAGTGACCTGTGAACACACTAGGCTTACAGCGATCACCTTTTCCTTCTTCTTTTAGTCGCGTTTACACACAGTGTTGGCAAGGTGACGGTTGTTTTCAAAAACGTGCTCTGAGAACTCTGTAAGTTTGCGTTCTCAGGCCACCGAAACACTGTGGTCGTGTACATGAACGCATTAAAGGTGTCCTGGTGTCAGTGTAAACGCTGTTGTGTAAGCGGCTCCTAAATTAATAACTGAGGATCTTTACAACAGAAATGAATCAATCAGGAACTCACTTTAACTGGACAGTGATTTTCCTTCTAGATCTGCTGTAAAGCCAAAACAATCTTTGTTGCATTATTTTCCCGTTATCTCTGTAAAGCTGCTGTGAAACACTCTGTTGTTAAAAGCGCTAAATAAATAAAGATTTGACTTTGGAAATGCAATAGGTTATATTACAAGTTACCCTATTTTAAACGTAGTGTAACTATTTCAGTTACTTTATTAAAGTAATGCATTTACATTTGATTACTTTTCTAAATTTCGTTGAAACGTTTTCAACTGTTAATCATTTTCAACAACATCTAATCCAGGGTTAGGGTTAGGTAGCCGTACCGCAGCGCTAACAGTCTCCAGATCCTGTTTTCTTGGAGATCAATCTGAGGGTAAATACAGACTTCTGGATGGAATTATTTTTATGTTCCAGCACTGAAACACATTTTCATCACTCGCCATGGTGGCAAATCTCGGACAGGTTGTAGTCGAATGCTTTCAGCGGTAATGTGGGTCGATGTAATTGGCAGACGTGTTGCGATGCAAATAGAAACAACAGAACCAATCAAAAGACCGAGACGCACCCAGGAGCCGATACTCCAGCGCGGTGAAGCCGTCTGTCAGCCCGCAGCGCGCCACTCTCATCATGGCCAGCGTCGGCCCGTCCAGCCGACCCGTCGCCCGCAACCCCGTCACCGTCTGGAAGAGTCTGGAACAGGGTTAGTGTTTATGTGTCGGTCAGATGAGGAGGAGAGCGGGGTAAGCTGTGTCAGCCTGTTCCTCGTGGAAACTGCAGAATGTTTTTCATGTGGCAGAACAAGACTTTGGAGCGGTTCGCTTCATCATTTACGTTCATCTTTTTGTTTGAAATGTAAACATCTACAGGCTGATGATGTCACAGACACTTTCTTCTCGTTTCAGTGGATATAGCACACATCCTGACACGGATTTAGGAGTTTGGGTTTTACCTCATCTAATTTCTTCTTCCCTGGAGGACAACATAGGTAAAAGTGGCACAGCTTACCCCTCTCACGTGCGTGTGTGTGTGTGTGTGTGTGATACCTAAGAGCCTCATTCATTTGCTGTGTTTGAAGCCCCTGATGAGCTGCGCTGGATGAGGAAGATAAATAACCGTATCGCTTCAGATAGACCTGACAGACAGGAAAACAAGCTCTTGTACAACTCTTCAGAATAATCACAGAACTGTAATGCAAAGACAGACGAGTTCCTTCTTACCGTCGCCTCCGTCAGCGGCGCTGGACCCAGAGCGACACACACCGACCCGAGAGACAGTAGCAACACAAGCATCTCTGCTACCGTGTGTTCGTCTGCTGTCTGCGACTCTCGACTGCTCTGGGCGTGTGTGTGTGTGTGAGAGAGAGAGAGAGAGAGTGTGTGTGTGTGAGAGAGAGAGAGAGAGTGTGTGTGTGTGAGAGAGAGGGAGTGTGTGTGTGTGTGTGTGTGAGCGCTTTCTACAACACAGAGCAGCTTTATAGAGATAAGGAGAATAATGCACCAGTTTGTTTCCAGTAGGAAACGGCTTCACAGTCCAGCTTTAGTCAGTTCAGTGATGTTCATTTCTGTTGTAAAAAAGTTATTAATTTAGTTCATTTATACCTGCTCTGGAGTAATTGTGATGTCATCGTCCAGCTCAGTTCAGTTCTCATGTAATAGTGTCGATGCAGGAGATCAATATTAGTGTTGAATATTAAATGTTCTCAACTAAACAGCCAATGGCGACAGTGAAGGAACCGAAACTCCATCAGGGACAGAATGGAGAGAAACCAGAACCCCCTGGACACGAGCGAACAGATTATTATTTAACTCACCTCAACTCAACTTTATTTATATTGCACCACTAAAAAACAACAGTATTTGACCAAGCATTTGATCGTTAGCATTTAACACCAAGTACAACATTGATTACAAAAAAAAAAAGACAGACCAGACCAGATACAGCATGAATCAACTACAATTATAAGCCAAAGAAAAAACACTATCATGCGTTGTGGTCGTGTCTAGGCGCAGGTCCTCCATTAGCGACTAACGTTAGCGTCGACACCGGTCTTCTTATGATGTCACGAGTACATCAGGTGTTCCCGGTTCTGGCTGACCTAATCTATGCAGCCTAGTGAGTGTATTTAGTGTGTGAGTGTGTGTGAGTGTGGAGGTTTGGGCTAAAATATTTACGGTCTTCCAGAATGATGTGATGCTGTGCAGAACAAACCAGCTTGTTTCACATTCCCAGAATGCTCTGCGGTCTGAATGTTTCCATTCACCTGCCTCTACATCTGGTGCAGCCGTCAGTGTCTCGTCACGTTAGCAAACAGATCACGAGTACAAATGACGTCTCATTTTGTGCTAAAATCTGTAGGAATATATTCATGAGCAGATCCGAGTCTGTTATGATGTCTATAAACGGCACAAACAAGCCGATCCTCGTGAGAGTTGGGCTTGAGCAACAGGGAGTGACATGAAGACAAGTTTATAATTACCACGAGCTCCGCAGACACGGGTCCGCTGGAGGATTGATGTGTGTTTTTGAGTCGTAAAACATTCTGCTCATAACAAGCCTCCCGATGCGTCTCTTTTTCCAAAACACTCCAGTAACTCTCTTGTGTATTTTGTTACATTCTTGAAACATGTTTGTGTGAGTTTGATGTTCAGAGTCAGTGTAAGTCAGTCATTAGACACTGCCATTTCACCACATGTTTTGTTTGTTTGAGCAGGGTCAGGTCAACTTCTGTCTCAGCCAATCACGTGGGTTAGGGGCGGGGCTTCCTGTTTGACTGACCAATGACAGATGGAGTGTTTGGGTAAACCTGTTAGAATCACCTGTTCAGTGTCTGACGGAAACGCCACACTGCAGCTTTAAGAACAGTGCCCTGGATCCGACCTCGTCATGCAGTTCGCTTTGAGTTTTCTCTGTTGTGTGTCAGCTGACTAACGGCAGACAGGAGACGTCTTTAAAGTGGTCATTATTTTCAGCGCTCGTGAGCAGAAACACTTCAGCTTTAACCAGCGCTGAACATTCGAGATCACTTGATCAGTTCTGCTCGTCCTTCATCAAACACATCAGCACTGCACAATCTTCATCGAAATAATACTTTTAATACAAAAAATTGGGGTCACGGTCAGTCGTTCATCTGACCAATTCCTTCATGGGGGATTTATTGTCTGTCCCAAATCTCAGATATACGTAATGACTTCACGACTGCTAAACACGTATGTTCCATTCAGTATGAGTGTATCTGGATGTACTACATTCCCCATGTGGTCATGATCATGTGACCTGCACATCAGTTGCGTCGCGAACGCTCTCCTGTGGCCTCATGGGACAGCAACGAGCCCCTCGGACACACTGAATCCTGCGGGAAGCAGAAGCTCAAACAGGGACTCTTCTTCTGTCTCATACTGTTTTGGCCAACTATATAATGGGGAAGGCTGTGGGAATGTGCTCATGAATCAGAATCAGTGAATCAGTGAATCGTTCAGTCATGAGGAAACACTGAGAATCTCCAGTTCTGTTGCAGGCTGGATTTAATCTATTTTTGCAAAAACAGACAATATTGACTACTGTCTAAAATTGAACTCACATTAACTTGTTTATTGAACCGTTGTATAAAATATCACATTTGATAATCTGTAAAAACAGCAGGCTTGCTCGTGTGATTTCACACACAAACCCATCTTCGTTCCCGCAGTGAAAGCGTTTACGTCCGCTTCACGATCCCCATATTATCGCAGACAGGGACACGGAACAGGAAGTTTGTTATGCTATGTTTAATATAACACAATTCTACACATTGTTATTTCATGCAGTTATGCACTACGGTGGTAAAAAAATTGACATCATGATGAGATTCAGTCCATCAGTCAGTGAGGCTCATTGGTAACTAGCGTTAGCTCCCGCGGCTCCGGATGAAACCATTAGCGCTCCTGCAGGATCTGCGGAGAGAGTCCGGAGAGTCTCCATGATGTATAAAACACAAGAATGAAGCGGTTACAGCTCTGACTGACACACACACACACACAGTTGATTGACAGCCTCATAAGTCCGCCCCCAGCAGCTGTAGCTCCGCCCGTAAGGCCTGGCTCCGCCCCAGTTTGTCGAGCTGCTCGCGGGTCGGACTGCTCAGTTCCCCGGACCGGATCTTGAACTGGAGCTCCTCCACCTGACGCAGCTTCTTACGCAGGCTCTTGATCTTCTTGGCTCTCTCCGTGGGGTCCGAGGCTTCGGGTTCTGGTTTCACCCGCTCCTCCTCCTCCTCCTCCTCCGTGATCTTCATCGCCTGCATCTCCTCGCTCACGGCCCGCTCCTCCTCCTCCTCCTCCTCCCCCTCGGGCCGGGTCTGGATCTGCTGCTTGCGCTTCTCCTTGCGCTTCATGTTGCGTTTGGCGGTTCTGGAGAGTCCGTCGCTGTGCTTCTCGAGCGCCGGCTCCGGGTTCATGCCCGGCGGAAGGTCCGGTTTACTCTTGAAGAACTTCACGTACTTGTTCTCGTATCTGAGGAAACAGAGAGACTCGTGAGCGACTGGCGGTTCGTGATGTCAGCGCTTGCATCACTACTGTGTGTTCTACGCAAGAAATTGTGGGTCGAGCGCTTACACCGGCACCTCCTCCTGCGGGACGTAGCCGTCCTTCACTCGCCGCGGTTTCCTCCAGGAGCCGTCAGGACGCTGCGTAGCGGCGATATACTTACCTGGAACACACACACACACACACACAAACACAATAATACATACACAGTCAGACACAACACACAGACAATAACAGACACATGCACACACACACACACACACATTCGCACACACAACACACAGACAATAACAGACACATGCACACACACACAGAGAGAGAAACACACACGCCGAGACTCAGTATTTGAAAGCTCTTTGATTTCTCTGAATCTAAAGACATTATGACGTGCACTGTTTACTTTTTACTGAAATTACCTCCATAAAGTATTCAATAATTATAACAAATAATGCTTTTAAACACTACACTAAATAATATAAATGATCATCGTCATTTATTCTAGATATTCTCTGTATTGTTATTGTGAGCATCGCCGCGGAATGTAGAAATACAGCAGAAGATTCGGAAGCTTCATTCGTGCGGCGATCAGCGCGAGACACACACACACACACACACACACACACACGGGCGACACCGCGCATTGTCAGTAGCTTGCATGGCGATGGGAATATATGACTTATCTACTGAGAAATGTGTGTTTGTGAAATGCTTTACCAGATTCATCTGTCACATAGGGGGTCGCCATCTTTAACAAAGACTGACTTCCGTTTCCGATATAGATCACAACATCCGGGAGGTGGCGCTAATGATGAAAGACCATTGACAATAAGAAAAGCATTTTCTATTTTTTATTTAAGCAACATACATTTTGTACAAATACAAATATTAAACATTACACAGACAGACATAATTATAAGCATTCGTTTGTTTGTAAGAAACGCACATTTAATGAACAACATGATATCTAGCCACTTATAAATGTAATATGTTATAGTACAATACTTTTACACAAAAACATTGTTTTTAAAAGGTCTTAACCTGATTCTTAAAGTTTCCCAAATTCTCAAGTTTAAAGCTCAACGTTGGCAAATGTGAAATTATTAGCTACCACATGAATGTCCTATAATAACGGCATATAGCTAATATTCCGATCGAGCGTCAAATATTTAGGCATAAACATTTCTAAGGACGAGTTGATGATGGAAAGCGAAATGTCTGGAATAGATGGAAGGAATGCAAAGGGATTTGTATTTTTTGGAAGGATTTATTTAACTAAAATATAACGTCTTTCTTTATATCCTGCATTTTGTCTATTTATTTCTAATTAAGACCATTAATCAAATGAATTACAATTTTATGGAGAAAACGTGTGCACTATAAAGAGAGATCAAGTTGTACAAGATTATGAAAATGGTGTTTACAAGCCTTAGGTTTAACCGTGACTGGAAGTAAAGGTTTGTCAAATGGTTTGACATTTTCTTAACAAATGAAACTTAAAAAAAAAAAAAAAAAAATTGGGTGGAATTGATTTCCTACTGTTTCCAGCCAATCCAACGATCTTCCTTTACCCAGCAGATTTAGTTATAATGGGAACTATAAAACCCCGATCGGCTGGAGGCGCTCCTCACTTTAATATTCATATTTAATATTCAACTTCTTCATTTATGGGTGGAAGAGACTTCTGTACTAAATATGATTTGCAATTTTGACGCAAACTGTTTGAGCGTGTTTTAAATGCCATTCCAATAAGTTTTAAAAAAGATACAGAAGTTATTCACCGTTATAATAACTTCTTATTATCTGCCAACATGCCGCGGATGATTCATACGTAAATAAAAAAGAAACGATAATTTTCTGAATCCAAAAGAGCCTTTGTTTGTAATGACTTCACATCATTGTAATGAAAATAAAAAGGCCCAGGATTTTGTTGGAATAATAACCCCTTCTTTGCTTATTTTGCCTTATAATCTATATACTAATACATCATACATGTAATTTTCTTTATATTTTGATATATTCCAAGTTTAATCCTTGTTTATCTGTATTTATCAATGCCATTAATGTACATTTTGTTTTTATTCTTGGTGTTCAATAAAGAAAAACATTTCCTCAGTCTCCTGTAAGAAGTACGAGTGCAGTAAGGCCTGCAGTTTGTTCTATAATATAGATTACAGTTTACAGATTACTCGTCATGATGTTTGTAAGAGTCTTCTCCTAAAGGCTCTTCAGCTCATTCTCGTTTACTCTGCAGGGTTCATTGTCAACATGAACCTCCTGTTTGATCAATATTGAACTTTTAGTTTTAATGAACCTCGATGGCATTAGTAGCTCGGCCGCGCGCACGGATATAAACCAGGCCGGAAGTGACCGAGGGGCGCGCGCTGGCTGAGCGGAAGTGACGCATGAGCCGGCTGGAAGAAAAGACAGACGTTCGCACATAAGCGATCGCAGAAAAGTCCAATAAAGGAACACACACTGCATGTGTGTGCGCCACAGACTCCTGCAGGTCGTTCAGGTAAGGGCTTCTCCTCATCAGTCTCGCGATCGGACGCGTCTGTCGCCCGTCACGCAAAGCGAACGCGAACACCAGCTTTCACACGTTTAGAATGTAAATAGCAGCGAAACGGATCATTAAATCTTGTGTTTTCATCTGCTCGTCATTGATGTTTCTCTCGGTTAGCATAAGGTAGCTCAGCGGCTAGCGGAGGCGTTGCTAAGATACTGCCACATATGCGTCGCGCGAGCCGCGATGGTGTTGATTATATGAATGCGCTCCTCGAATCCCGCGCGTTATTATAAACCCGTTCGATCTACTGAAGAATGACATTTAAATAGAGGGAGAATATTAGTTTTAGCATGACTACATCCAGATGTGTGATTAAAGGCCATCCGTGATGAGGGAACTTGAACATAAACTGAGTTTCAGAAGCTTCACTGAAGGATCCGCGTGCAGTGATTGTTTTGACACCTGTCAATCATCGGTCTCAGCTGTAGATGTGGCGTGTGCAGTGCCACGTCACCGCGCTTCCCGCCTCAGGGATCAGAGAGTGCGAATCTTCTGACTCGGTTTCCCCTGTTCCGCGGAACCGGATCCGGAATAATTCCCGCTCGCGGCTGGGAGACTGGTTGCGTCACAGATTCTGATGCTGGGCTTCACCTCTTTAGTAAACAGTGTTCGTGTTCCTCTGGGTGTAAATATAGCGCTGAATGCGGCCTCACCTGTTCGACGGCGCACAGGTGTGTGTGTGTGTGACGCACAGTCGGGTGTGTGTGTGTGTGTGTGACGCAGAGACGGAGAGTGTGTGCGTGTTTGCATAGTTTAAGTTTCTTTTTCCTGAGAAAGGGATTCTTATGGGTCTTGCGTTTTCAGAGAGAGTCTTCACTGCTTCACTGCTGTCGAAAGATAAAACACTGAATCCACTCGAGGTTAAAGGACTCGCGCTTTTACAATGACAGTAAGTTAGAGATGAAGGGTTAGAGATGAGGATGAGGAGTTTATCTTTCTTTGATTCAGAGATATAGAAAGCAACTCAAATCAGAGTCATCAGGATTATTTCCATTATTCTGTAATATTCGCATGTATTGTTGTAAGATGTTGTTTGTTGTTTGGAATACATGCAAAATTTTATGTTGGTGATATGAAATGGTTCTTCCTTCCGGTGTCTTCACTTTCTAGACTCTAACAACTGGATCACATTATTGGGTAATATTTTTATAAGTGTAAAATGTGCATTTATGTACAAATGTAGTTTTTTGTTACTAAGGGTTAGGCGACAGGTTCTCTGACGGATCACGGTTTCTCTTTTCATCGCTTCACTTCTGAGATTCTAGCAAATGCTAATACGAGATTTCAAGTGGAAACTTTAAACACAATGTCACTTGTTTAACTGCAGATTTTCTCTCCCTGTAGAATTGCAGCTGACTGAGGAACAGGAGGATGGCGAGGAAGAGCAGTTATAAAGGTGAGGTTATATGATTACTGGTTTAACGTTACAGAAGAGAGATATTATTGCGGTGGTTCTGAAGACAAAGTTTTGCAGCTGCTTTCAGTTCAACACACAGAGAGTTATAGAAATTCTACTCTATTTAAAAAAAACTGCACTGGTATCGGTCGATTCTCAAAATTTTTGGTATCGGATCGGTTCTGAAAAAGATGGTATCGGAGCATCCTTATTCATTTTTTACGGCACTCTAATACGCCTTATTCACGGCAGCGCCATCTTTGATTTTTAATGAGAATGAAAGCGAGGCTGTGAGGGATAGACTTGCATCTCTTCAATGGGCTGTACTGTTATTTAATATGTTTTCGGATTTTTCTGCTCATGAAACACTGGAAAAATATCTTTCCAAGAAATGTCAGTTGACAAAAAACTCCCGATCTGTAAGCTGTGGAAAATTGTAAGTAATCTAGCCGCTTTATTCAGCGTTTTACAGCGGATGCCATTGGAAACACGGTAAGACTATCCCTCACAGCCTCACTTTCATACCTGTCATGGCGCTGCTCTGAATAAGGTCTATAGCCTGCTTTGCCATGTTAGCCTGGCAACAGACAAGTGACCTATCCTGAGCGGTGACATCACTACACGCGTGTACCGCGCGCTTCAGAACGGTTGCTAATCGGGGTGGGAATCTCTAGGGTCCTCACGACTCGACTCGATTCGGGTTCAGAGGCCTGCGATGATAAAACGATTAATGATTCATCTTTCTCTATACAGTTTCTTTTTCCTCACTGTGTGACTACTTGGTACTTTTAAAGCAGGTACTATTAAATACAGCCGCGACCAACGATCACGTGCTAATCACGGGCTAGGGCCAAGGCGTAGGGCTACATAGCCCTTGAAACGAAGTTTGCGGAGGACCACAATTGAAAGAGAGGGGTAACAAAAGTGCCGCATCAAGTTTTATTATTATGGCTGAACGTCGAACTGTTAAGCAGTTAAGTATTATGACACTCGTGTTTTATGATACTTTTAATAAAATGTTGTTGAAGCGGTTTTAATTGTTATGTTTTTGTTTTGAATCGGTAGTAAACCGCTAGCAGCTATGTGCTATTTGCTGAGCAGAGCTATCTGATAATCCTTGATATGACACTTCATATTATTTTATTAACTGTGCGCCGCCGTTAAATGCAATGAAACATGCGTACCATTTGATCCGTAAGCAGTCGTATGCGTCTGAGAAACAACTTTCTTCTGTTATGTCTTTGACGGGTGGCAGCCAAGCGTGCAAAGAGAGAGCCCAGGCAATTAATATCACAACATGAGACGACGCATCTTCGTTTGTTTAGCGGTATGTCAACGTCCCTGTTGACTCCTGTTGACGGCTATAGCGGCAAGGGAAGATGACGCTAACGGTGATCGAGTGGTGTCTCATTTCTCAGAGGAACGTTCTCATCCCGGTATCGAGGGGCAAGGGGAAGACGCAGATGAAGGGTTGGGGGTAAGACAGAGAAATGAGATTGGCCCTTAATGCAGAGGGTGCCGGTCGGGTCATGCGTGTGTGTGCGCACATCTGCACGCCACAGACTCTCCAAGCGCCTTTTGCCTTCCCTCAACATTACATTATCAATTAACAATTAAAAATAATATTGATTTTTTTGATATTTGTGGTTCGATTCAGAATCTGAGAATAAATGTTCCCCACCCCTAGTTGCTAACCCTGCTGAGGATTCTGGGCCGAGAACGGTTGGTCATCGTGCTGAACCAGGCTCAAGTGGAAGTGTAACTGGAGCCGTTCGGCCCGATGGCGATTACGGTTCGAACTCGCTTTGTGTGTCTTTGTGTAGGAACATTGCCCTTTTCTATAGACCACCCCTTTTCAGCGCTGCGCTCGTTGTCTTCTGACTTCCGGTCTGTATTTCCACAGTGATCTGGCATAGGTACGAATGAACTGCTCGTAAAAATTTTCCAATTGGTTTAGCAGGTTGAGATCTGCTTACAATGCTCATGATAACTTTTGTTAACTCTACAATAAGTAAATCCACTAATTACTCCTCAGCGATGCCATAGAAGTATACGGAAGGTCAAAGACAATATTCTGAAGATGACGGCGCCCACGTTTCTCTGGTGCATAAGGTCTATAGGTTTTCACATTATTATATTTGAATGTTTACATAAAAATGAAGTCTGTACTTTGCAGCTTTACTTCTTTATAGATCTAGATGTCTCCATCATGGCCGTCGTCCTACTCGCCGATGATCTGAAGCATGTTTCTGTCTCAGTGCTTTTATTAGTTTTATCTTACTTTTGACTTTCTGTTGTTCGAGACCAGAGAACATTAAAGAGCTGCAAACATCATTTGTGCCTTTTGTTTATGGCTTTTATCATGGCTAGTGCGGTTTCGTTGCCTGCATTCAGAGTTCGAGCAGATGCGGGAGAAAGTGGTCATGTGACCCGCTGATTCACTCTTTCTGTCGGGACTGCCGGATGCCCTTCAGATGAGGATGTTTGGAGTCTTTGGTAGAAACACAACTCGTGTCAAAGACTAGACTACCTTTGCACTCAACGAAACATTTCTTTACTACTTTCTGTGCAGTTTAGATGCTCTGTGTGCTGTCTCCAGTTTTGTTTTGCAAATGGAAACTTTTCGTTTCAATGACTTTGCAAATTCCTGGTGTGTGTGTGTGTGTGTGTGTGTGTGTGTGTGTGCGTGTGTGGCGTGGCTAAATGGAGTGAAACACACTGTAAACTGTAAGCCGCAGCATCTTTGAACAGCCTTTGACCCGGTTAAAACGCACGTCACTGCAGTCCGGCTGCTTTATGGCTGCGTTTTCTAACCAGCTGTATGTCTTATCAGTTTCACCGTTCAAGGGCTTGGGAATTATTGCTTAAAGGGAAATCCACACACTGCAGCTTTAAAGATTCTTTGTGTAAATTGTAGGTCTGCCTTTTTGTAATTAACTTGAAAATCTGCACTGTAATAGTTACTGTACCAGTGAAACTGCAGTCATTTATCAGGTTGGTTATCTTGCAGATTGGCTGGGAGAGTTAGTGTGTGAGTTAAAAAAATCTAAAGTTTTTGGTGCTGAATAGGAACAGGATCTCCCGCCTGCAGTCGATTTCGATATTCTAGGTATTATCAACTGGCCGGAGTTTCGAGATCGCAGTAGACGTGCAGGACTATAATGCGTTAAGAGCTCGCTCAAGTACTGGAGATAAACCATTTAGTTAATAGGCAGCCAGTGCAGGGTTGACAGAACCGGGCTAATATGGTCAATCTTCCTGGTTCTGGTAAGAACTGGAGCGGCTGCGTTTTGGACTCGCTGGAGTTTCTTTATTAAGTGTGCAGGACAAACACCCAGTAGAGCATTACAGTCATCTAGCCTTGATGTCACGAACACATGAAGTCCGACCTGGACGACCCCTGTGGTCAGCGCAGTTGTCCTACCATGTAAAGATATTCAACAGGTTGGGTTTGTTGAACGATGTAAGGGAGAGATGTCAACATTTGCCGCTTTCTGACAAAGTTTGTGCATTCGTTGGATCTTTGGTGTGATTGGCTGATTAATAAAAGTGTTGCATGTTTCCCAACTTCGCTGTGATGTGCAGGAGACTGATAAATATCTCTCCTTTGATCAACATGTAGAAGGACTGAAGCAATTCGTCCGTTACGTCAGTGAGGATTAGGGTTTGATGATTTGGGTCAGAGACCGAGGCGCTGAGGAAAAACCAGATATTCTCCATTCATTTTTAACCAATAAAAATAAGAAATGATTGCAGCTTTCAAACAAGACTTTCTTCTTATTTTTATAGTTAATTTGAGGTCGTTTCTATGGCGTTATTTTAATGACAAATGTCGAGAGCGCACTATTGTAACGCGAGAGGGCATCCATGTAATGAATCTCCACTCGCAGAAGGGTTGTTCACTCGCGCACAAATCCGGACGTGCGATCGCAAATATACAGTGGTCTCATGGCTCCCGCTCAGGTGTGTGTGTGTGTGTGTGTGTGTGTGTGTGTGCTCAAACGTTGTGCTGTGCGCTCGTGAATCTCTTGTTCTTTCTGCCACATGATTGGGGAGGCTTTAGTTCTGAAAGGTTGAGAGCCTCTGATCTACTCTATAAAGTGATATAGAAATAAACGTAACTTCACTTGAGTCCCGTAGAGCTTCTGCAAACAAGACTGCTTTACTATAATCGAACGCTTGCAGTTTTCTAAATTGTGTTGTATTTGATTGAGAGGAAAGCGTGCAGCTCATGTTCATCATGCCGGCGCTCTCAGCAGTGTAGGGCTGCTCCTGTATTTACTCCTAAACAAAGAACCTAAAAGAACTTCGCTGTGAGTATATCGGGTGCCTTCATGTACTCGTGTGAACTTGGCAGAAATGGAAGAATGGGATTGGATGTGATTTTCAGCAGATACTTCACATTAAATGATTCTGACTGGGACGGATTCGGGACGTCCCTCGCTGGCTCTTCTCCTGACCTACATATTTTTGGGGGAAGCTTTAACCGAGATCCTCTGCCAAGACTCTCCACTGATGAAGTCAAGCTGCGACTCCAGCTGAACACGTGGAAATCTCTAAGAATGTTTCCTCCCCTCTTCTTCCTCCAGATGTGTCAGGAGTCGTGTTCGACACGCACTCAAAAATGGTGATGTCTCAAGGAGGATCTTTTGAGAAGATGAAAGAAAAGGTACTGATGGCTTCTTGTGTTTGTGTTGGGGACCGTTTTCTCAGAACGAGAGGCACTAATGGTTCTGAGTGAGCGGCCCCTGCCAGCCTGAAAATGAATGTGAGATTTGTTGGCTGTCATTTATGATGTTCTTCGTGTCCTTGTTTTTCTCTCTTTCCAACGAACCCGTCCGGCTGAACGTTTTTGCTCTTGTCAGATAAACGCTGTGCGAGCTGTGGTTCCCAATAAGAGCAATAATGAGATCGCTCTGGTGCTGCAGCACTTCGAGAACTGCGTGGATCGAGCGGTGCAGGCGTTTGTTGAAGGTACAAACACACACTCAATGCTAATGTTGCTCCGTTGGCCCTTTTCACATTTCCGGGTTTCTCAGAGGCAGAAGTCGTCATAGTTGGGTAAACTTCTATACTGATGACTGAGAGATTGCATTACCACTTAGTGAATACTGTTCCCATTTGTTCAAATAGCAATAGAAAAACTAAATGTGTTTTCACAACTTTCAGAAGAGGGGAAAAAGATGTAGAGTTTTACCGTCACCCCCACAGCCGCTGCATTACAAACACACTCCCAGCAGCGTTAGCTAGTTTAGTTTTGTGCAATTTTTGTAATTTGATGCAGAGGTAATATAATACAGAGGTAGTATACTTCAAAGTATAGTTTTATTAATGTACATGCATATAAAAAAAATACACTAAATGGTTAAACACATCATAAGTCTGTGAAAAAAATTCCATTTAGTGTGATCTGAGACTCGTATGACTGCTCTCACTGCTGTGTGTGTGTGTGTGTGTGTGTGGCCGCTGTCAGGTAGTGCCGTGGAGATCCTGAAGGAGTGGAATACCACTGGGAAAAAGAAGGTGAGGAAATCATAATGTATCATGATCATGAAATTAACCTGTAAACAAACTGCAGTTTAACCCCTGTGTCCTTAAGGATGGTTGTCTGTTTTTATTTTTCCTTATTTTCCCTGTTTATTTCACCCTCATTTCATAAATCTGTTTTACAGTAGGTACACAAAATATTTGCACTGTTGGATCTTAAGGACAAAAATGTCCCCATTGAAATCCATTAAAACTGCAAACAAAATCTTCAATCTAGGGTTAACTATAAAATAATTCAGTCTTTGTTAATAGGCTTTTTTTACAACTTTCATTTTTATTTAGTTTTCACATGTATATCAACAAAATAATACAGTAAGTAATACAAAGATCAAAATAACAATAGTAATTGTTAATTTTTTTTGAATCATTGCTAAACATTTACATTGCTAAACATTTTAGCCTGTTTTTGTACTTTTTTTCTTAATTATTATCAGATAGGCCTATAAAGCAAATACTCACTTTTGTCCTGAGTCAGTTTGAGAATGTGTGTGTCAGAGAGAGAATTTATACTGCTATCTGTCATCTGCAGCTTTACTGGCATCTAATGAAAAAAGTCAATATTTGTTTCTGTGACCAAACTATTTATTTTTTGGAACACAATTTTTTGGCTTTGGATTTCTGGAAGTTTTTGAGTTTAAAACGCTTTATATATATTTGTATATAAATATATTAAAAGTCATAAACTAAGACCTTTTTTTTTCATCAATAATCTATCATGGGTGTTTTTGTCCTCTCTAAACCTCAGAGTAACTTAAAAAATGGACACAAAAGGGTTAAATGTGTTTGTGATGCAAGGTAGGATAAAGTTTAATCCTGCTGTTCTTGAGTGTCACATGCGTTTGCTCTGATTCACAGCCCAAGAAGAAGAAGAAGCCGAAAGCCCAGAGCGACGTTCCCGCAGACGCGACCCCAGCCGAATCTCCCCCAGACGCCGAGTGTCCGGAGGCTGTGAACGGCTTCCACGCCAACGGTTCTCCAGCAGCCGAGTGCGAGTCCCTGGACTCTCTGAGTGAGCAGCTGGACTGCGTTTCTCTGGACGCAGCGGAGCTCGACCCGGAGCCTGCCGTCCCGGAGGGTTCAGAGGCCACAGGTGCGTTCGCTGAGGTCATGTGATGCTCTTCTGTCTCCTGCTGGTGCTGACGGGGTTCATCTCTGCAGGTGGAGAGGTCACGTCCTCTTCAAGCCCTGGCACCACTGACGGCCCGCGGCACAACCATCACGCTTTCCGTAGTAACAAGTCTCAGTCCAAGCCGGTTTCCAGCTCCCAGAATCCCTCGATGCCCGTTCCTTTCGAAGACGCTTGGCGAGGATCAGCTACCAAGAAGATCGCTGGTAATCTGTTTGTTATTTTAACTTTTACGTGACTGATTTGCTGTCGTTTGTCTCCCTGTCTGCTCTCAAAATAATCGGCGAATGAAAACCTGTGGGATGCTGAGGTGAAGTTCTTCCGGCCGTTTCACTGGCGGTTTAAGTCGTAGGTATAGGCGGAGGCTAACCCTAAGGAAGAGTAGCACAGCTCCACATCAGTCCACAGGCAACACATAAATCAGAACCTCTACTGATCAAGTGTCAAAGAGTGTGGAAGTTTGGCAAAATTACAAACAAATAATCCTGTCATGTGACATTAAAATGGAGCCCAACGTGCATGTAAAATGAAAATGGGCGTGAGAGACGTGAGCAGTGGCGAAATGTGACTGTTGTGCAGCTGAAGCATTGAGGTAATGTTAAAGCATTTATCATTTCATAAGCTATTAGAAGTGTTCAAACGAGTAAGTTTTACCTCATTTACGATTCGAACACTCTCACAAGAGATTGAAGTTTTATATTAACTCTAAAGGGATAGTTCTCACGAACAACAGCTTTAGTTAGGTCTCATTTTTATTTCATGAATTGTTGCAGGGAAAGTGTGTGTTTCATATCTCTGTTCTGTAGTGAAATGATGCCTCTGCTACACAAGCCTTACTATGGAAAAAGACCAATTTCTGGTTTGTATATATGACTTATAAATGGACACAAAGGCCTTTTGTTTTGGTTTTAAGAGCTAATGATCGATCATTGCAAAAATCGCCAGAATAGTCAACTGATCGTTCCAGTGATCGTAAGATTAGTTGATTATCAAAGTAATTAATTGCAGTCCTAACAGACGTGTGTTTGGAGGGCAGACGTACAGGTTAATGATCCTCTGTTAGGGTTAGCATTGGGAACTAGCATTTAAGGGTTTGTCGCATCTACTCGTTCTTTATTCAGTCCACGTTAGAACAATAGTGCAGTGATCATTGCTGAAATTACAAAAATGGAATAATGATGTCATCAGTCATGTGACACACACTTTTTTTTTCATGTTCATCATGAAAATGAGGCTTTTAAAACTTCTTTTAAGAGACATACAGTAGTGCAAAGTATCCAAACGTTTGTTTAGACTGGTACAAAATGTTTAATTCTTGACGATGGCCAATAGCTGGTAGTTTTGTGGCTCATGTGTCACAAGCACACACACACACACAGATACTCGAGTGAACACCGTACACTCTTCATGCTCGGAGTGACCGTAGCGATCCCTCATGTGTCGTGCTCTCTTAGTAAACGTTTGGTGTTTCGTCAGGGCCGAACGTGGATCGCTCCGTGAAGGACCTGCAGAGATGCGCGGCGTCACTGTCTCGCTACAGAGTCGTGGTGAAGGACGAGATGGACTTCTCCATCAAGAGAATGAAGCAGACGTTTGCTGAGCTGCAGAGCTGGTATCACACACACACCGTAACACGCTCACACACACACCGTAACACGCTCACACATGCTCTTAAAGGGATAGTTCACTTTGAAATTAACTTTTGATATGTTTTATCTTACCTCAACGGCATCCAAGATGTAGGTGTCTTTGTTTCCACAGTATTTTCAATTTTGATATTTTTCGGTCAAACCCTTGTTGTCTATCAGTCATACACTGGAGGCTAAAGGGGTCCACCCTCGGTTCACCTCAAAGAGCAGCACAGAGAACTCCAAATTAAACATGATTTTACGACTTGTGCATGCAAGTACACACTGATGGCCTAAGACACGAAACGAGCGGTTTGTGTGAGAAAACCAACAGTATTTATATCGTTTTTAGGCCATCAATGTGTACTTACATTTACAAGTAATGGTACAAAGAAGCTCACGCATGCACCAACACACACTAACACGCTCGTCTTCATCTGTATAGGCACTTATGCTCCTGTTTTCACTCTTCGCTCATCATCAAACATTATATCAAACTACTGAATGCACCTTGAACATATCATTTATTTATATTTGACTTGGAGTCATGTAATGAAGTAGGCCTATACGAGTTCTGCTAATGTCTTAAACTCTTAAAGGACAGATGGCGTTATCCCCTGTATGTTACACTGCCCCCCCGTGACCAGCAGGTTTATGTCAAGCTTTAGCAAACAGACTCAGCATTTAGATGTGCGAATGATCTCAGGATACGCTTCTGAGCAGCGGATGCGAACCAGCAGTTCAAAATCAGTTCAAGTGTTTAATCAGCATGGGATCTGTTTGTCTCTAATGTTCCTGTTCTCATTTCAGTCTCATGGATCGAGAGGTGGCGCTTCTCGGCGAGATGGACAAAGTCAAAGCAGAAGCCAGTGAGTAGAGTGACCGCACTGATAACTGTGTGTGTGTGTGTGTGTGTTAATAACTGTTAGGTAGGGCTGCATAATGGGTGTGTGTGTGGTTCCTAAATGCAATACAGTGGCGGTTCTACTTTGAATTACACCCAGGGCGAGAGCCCTTTCGAGCAAAAAACCCAAAACAAAACAACAACCCAACAATAAAATCACATGCCGTCATTTGAAAAACACACTTAATAGAATCCAGTTATTTTGCTTGATTAATCTAAATTAGGGAGGAACTATTAGCGCATTGGTTACTGCCTTGAATTATATGCATGGCACACTTTTAGTTATGATTTGTAAAACTATACTTTGTCACGAAATGGACTTTTTAAAGGGTCAGAGAGATACTTATTTAGTAACACAATACTTAGGCTATCTCTTAAATAGTTTGAAACAGCTCTCATATTAACAACTATCCAAACTGTTATAGACCTAAAATAGCTTTTGTAGCCCTATGTCACTCTTAAAATGTCAGAGAAAAGGACCGAACAAGAGATTATTTAGAAAATTGTACTTTGCATATAGGCTACTGTAAAAACACATAATTAAAGTTGATTTTAGTTGATCATTAGGAAAATTATTTTCATTTCATGAATATAGTGACAAATGAATCTTGTTCAAAAAGCCTAATACACAATGAAATCAATTCACCAAGTTAATAACATTAAAGATTTGTTTTAAAGGAGTGTCTTTTATGTTACCTACTAAACTTCCGCTTTAACACAAAAAAGGTTTTAAAAAAAGATAAACCTCATATTTCAGCATTTAAATAATCTCTATAATAATAATGAGTTAAAAAAGATGCATTGCTGACATTTATAATGAACAGTAGCTTATCTTTTATTATTAATAGTTAAACTCGGCCCGATTTTCCCATGGCTGTCGTTGCTATTCAACCATGCACTGCGCTCTCCTCCACAACGACAGAGAAGGTTTAGTAGCGAATGTATTTCCACCAGAAAAACGCTTGCTGTAGCTCTGCTAAAAGATTTATTTACGGAGAAGAGAAAACACCCAAGTGTTAGGGTGCACGTGCACTCCCATGCTGAAAGGTTTGAGCGCGCTTCCCGTGCGCCTATTTGAAATAACAACCTCGATCGTCCATTAACTAATCAGGAGACCCCCTTGACATCGCTTCTGTGAACGGCTCCTTCTCAGCAAGCAGGGGCGCCATTGCCAATAATTGAATCGTAATGATGAAAAATAGAAAACCTTCGCGGCACAGAGGATTTTGTTTAACTGCTCGTGCCGCCCCCCCCATGTGACATGAAGAAATGCCGCCCTGGACTACTGCCGATTCGCCCGTGCCTAAAACCGCCACTGACGCAATAAATCCATTTTGATGAATTTGTGTGAATTTTTTTTTTTCAAAGTTTCACACAGAATTTGTAGGTTATAATAACAATAAAAAATTCAATCCAGTTTTGATTTTCAAAGATTTATTAATTTTTTTTTCAAAATGCAATTAACCAAAATAAATTCAAAATAAAATTAATTTTATATACATTGAATTTGTTGTCTTGTGCTTACTATAAATCCATTGTATTAATAAAACAATATTTGGTAAGGGTACATAAATTAATATATAAATTAATGCATGAATTATGTTCACAATTATTGTTGATAATTGTATTATTTTTATTAAATAATCCTATTTTTCGTAATGTTTTTATTTTGTATTTTTTTGCATTGCTTGTTTAATTGTATGTCTTATTATGTTTCTATATTTGTGATGCGCTTCGAGATACTTTTTAAAGGCGCTATATAAAATAAAGTTTATTATTATTCATTCATGCATTAATATCTCATGAATCATCAGGAACTAACACACGTTCAACGTTTTTCATTCATGACTTCATGGATGAACACCTTAATTAAAACATTAACTAAGATGAGTACATCATCATGAATTATGATTTACGCATGATCTTTACATCTGCATATCTGTTGTCTTGGGACGTCGCCGACTCGCGGCTGAACTTTTTTGACGGCGATCAGCTGTAAAATGGCTTGGTCCTGCTCGGTTCGTTGACTTTGAATAAAACAATTGAAAGTTTTTCAAAAGATCCCCTGGGGTCAGCGTGACGGAAGTGTGGTGCTGTCGTGTGAGAACAAGAAACAGCCGGCATTTATCCTCCTCCTCCCGAGTGCCTCGTCTTCTTAATCTCCTCACGTAAATGATTCGATTTCGATGCCTTGCGTTTCTTACCCGCCACAGGAACCATCGCAGGTTCATCAATGCCGTCAAAATTATTCTTTTTTTTGTTTGTTTGTTGAGCTAAAAATTGGGGTTGTAACGATACACAACGTTTCGGTTTTCCCACAGTTTTGACGTCTCGGTTCAGTTCAGTTTAGAAAGCTAAATTTTTTTTATTTATTTTTTATAGTGGTTTAATGAAAAAAAATTTCTCTGTCTTTAAATTAATTCAATTACAATAAAATGTTTCACAAGGATAAAAAAAAAAATCTGCTAATGCTGTAAACTATATAGGGAGCCGCACATTACTATGACATTAAAGGTTGTAGCCTAGACTTTTAACCTAAATTCAGATGCTATTTATTTTTTAGATGTAATAATCAACACATTGTATGAAAACATGTAAACTGAACATAAGGCAATTTTTGCATTAACTTGTTTTTACTCTAATATGTTATTGAAATATAATAATTTACACAGTTTTCATTTTCATGAAAGATATTTTAAACATAGGGCCTACATTAAATAATCATTAGATATCATTAACAGGTTAAAGTATAATATATAGGCTAACATAGTGCATTTATTTAGTGCAAGAGTTCATTATAGGAACCAAAGTTGTGGACATTGAATCACTTGGCTGCTGACTGAGGTAAATATAATGCTAGTGACAAGCTAAAGCTATGCGGTTTTATTGACGTCTTTCCGCTGCTGAAACACTGAGCGATTATACGAGTTATGAAGTCTTTCAGTGAGTATACTGTATCTTTCCACACGCCTTCAGGTGTCCATTCTGTGACTGAGGAAGAGATGATCGCGTTTACTCGCGCCGCGCTGCCGCTTGACATGAGGAGCCTATAGGCTTACAGCGATCCGTCACGCCACATCAAAGAGCGCCAAAACGCCGTTTATTGTTTTAATTTCGTGATCAAATAGAATTGGAACGCTTACACCTTGCTTATTATTGAAAGTAACAAAACACGGAGCTTGTTATTTGGTGTTAATGGTGGTTGGGCTACAAAACTGAATTTGTTGTGTACTGTACACCTGAGACATGAGGTCTATTGAGCCGGGCTGGGCGAGGCCGGGGTAGCAAGGGGCGGGGCGGGGCGTGTTCGGTTCGCAATGACATTATTACGATTCGAATCGTGAGTTCAGTATCGCGGTTTTTCGGTTCAGTTCAAATATTGTTACACCCCTACTAAAAATACAAAATAGATAAGAAAACGTAGGAAGCCGGGTGGATTTAAAGCGCTGCCGTTACTGTTTACTTTGCGTGGAACGGTGCGTTGTGATTCTTTGAGCGGATGTATCGCATTTTGCAAAGAAGGTAGACTGGCGTTTGTCGCGGTTTGTAAAGAAAGGGAGAAAATATAACATAATAACAGGATGGATCTCGCATTTTATGTAAAATTAAACATTGACTTTTCAATACTGACCAGATACTATACAGATTTTTGGAGTAACTAAATTTTTTTTAAAAATGGTGTTTATCGTGTTTTGGAACCAAACTCTTCATATATAGCATTGAAATGTGATGTCAGTTAGGGATTATAATAATAATAATGCATTTTATTTCTAACACCGAAATGCTCAAAGACCCGTTGACTTTAATTGATCACAAGAACACAATCCTGCGATTGGCTCAAACACACACGCGTGTTCTCGATGTTCCCGTAGTTTGAGTCAGCAGCAGTGTTTGTGCGAGATCCCTGTGTGTTCAGTGAGGATGATCACGTGTGTGTGTGTGTGTGTGTGTGTGTGACAGTGGCGATTCTGGACGGGCGTCAGAAGAGAGCAGAGGCGCTGAAGAGACTGGCTGACCAATCAGCATCACTGACTGAAGAACAGTTGACTGAACTACGAGCTGACATTAAGGTCAACACACACACTGTTAAAGTTTAAAACATTACAAACATCTCTTTTCTTAGCACTTGCCTCAAGTCTCTCTCTCTCTCTCTCTCTCCAGCACTTTGTCAGTGAGCGCAAGTATGACGAGGATCTTGGGAAAGCTGTGAAATTTTCCCATGATCTGGAGCCTCTGAAGTGCAGCATCATGGCGTTCGGATCAGGTGCGGGCGGGAACGGGACTGTGTTCTCCATATAAATGAACATGTGAAGAGTTGGCGTGTGTTGACGTGTGTTGATGTTTGTGCAGTGTATCATCCTCAGACGAGCTACTCCAGCCGTTCTCGCTGTAGCTCCTCCTCTTCCGTCACAAGCTCAGTTCCTGTCCAAGCTCCGCCCCCCTCTGAGCCTCAGGCCCCCTCGTACACGGGCCGCCCCGGTGGACCCCACAAACAGGTGAGTCGCCGCACATGCTCATTTATTCCCGCTGTCGTGTGCTCTTTCTGATCTGGCACATGTCTCTCTCTCTCTCTCTGCTGTGCAGATTTTCCAGGGCAACAGGCGCTACATTCACGGTTACCAGGGAAACCAGCGTTATAATGGAAACGCCCATCCTGAGCGAAACCCTGGCCGAAGCAACTACCGTAACCAGGGAGAGCGCAGTTACCAGAGTGACATCACATCCCAGCCGGCCAATAGGGCGAGACCCCAGAGTGACATCACATCCCAGCCGGCCAATAGGGCGAGACCCCAGAGTGACCTCAGATCCCAGCCAGCCAATAGTGTGCGAGGCTCCGCCCACTCCTCAGGCTATCGCTCTGATCGCCCCGCCCACAACGGGCTACCACAGAGGCAACCGCGGACGCCCTGCCCATGATGCGCGCACACACACACACACACACACACACACACACACACACACACACACACATCGGTCTGATGAAGAGAAATATCAAGTTTACATCCGAGTTGAGCTGCGGCCGACTCCTGCTCTTCATGCTTCTCTCGCTCCTCTTCTCCTCCTGTCTGTCTGAGCTGCTCACACTCGAGTCCGTGTTCGTCTCAGTAGTTCCTGTGAGTGTTTCTCGTGGGCTTCCTCGTTCATATCGTCCGTGTCGAGGAAAGAGTTTTCGGCACGTTTGTTATTCACACACCAGATGATCAACACTAAGATGGCAGGCTGAGTTTGTCCCGAAGCTCGTTTAGTGGGCTGAGCGTAGATTGGGCCAGTTAGAGTTAGAGATGTTCGTCCACAGTGACGCTCTCACGATATACCTCACACACACACACACACACATCTGCTCCTCCTCCTCACACACACACACACTGCTCCTCCTCCTCTCACACACACACACACACACACACACACACACACACACACACACACACACACACACACACACACATCTGCTCCTCTCACACACACACACACACACACACACATCTGCTCCTCCTCCTCACACACACACATCTGCTCCTCCTCTCACACACACACATCTGCTCCTCCTCCTCTCACACACACACACACACACACACACACACACACACACACACACACACACACACACACACACACACACACATCTGCTCCTCTCACACACACACACACACACACACATCTGCTCCTCCTCCTCCTCTCACACACACACACACACACATCTGCTCCTCCTCCTCTCACACACACACACACACACACATCTGCTCCTCCTCCTCTCACACACACACACACACACACACTCACATGCTCTTCTTCCACTCGCAACGTCCGCTTCCTTTTCTCTTCCTGAAAGACTCTTGTTGGAAAGAATCTGCGCTTGCTTTGAATTGTGGGATATCAGATTCACACGCGTGTGTGTGTGTGTGTGTGTGTGTTTGTTCAGGATGTAGAAAAGTTCTGTTCTGTCTGTCAGGAGATCTGGATAGTTTTGCTCATGTTAATTCAGATCTGTCTCTCTTTTCTTTGGTTGCTTGATGATGATCTGCATCTTTTCAGCTCAATCCTGTATATATGTAAACTATATGTATAATGATTTTGTAGCCTCCGGCCATGTATGTAGTGGGATTTATTAGTTCTCTGATTGGACTCTGTTCTCAAGCAACTTCTGTTCTTCCTCATGTATAGAGAAAGAGACTCGTTTTTGTTTTTCCAAATGATCTGAGACCGCTGTGATCAAGTGCCTTCAGTCATTCGCTTTCACCATCCCGTTCCTTCTGCTCCGGTTCGGACCAAAGACATCAGATGCTCCTGTCGTGCGACTGCACTAGCGAACACTCGTCATCTTTCTGGCTAATTGACCTACTTGCTTTTCCTTTATTATAAATAAAGAAGGATTGGTAGCAAATGCTTAAACTGTTTGCAGACTCTGTTTTCCCAGTACTCATGATTAAGATCACTGCGGTTTGTGTAAATTAAACCACTTGCTTGATGTTTACGCTGATACTGTATGGTTTGAACTGGTTTCCACAGCCATGCTGGGTTCGGGTTGTGCCATGAATCTTTGAAGTAACTTCAAGCGTCTCTTTTTTTTTACACAGTATTTTCATGAGAAAATCTTTAAACTCTAGGGGAACCAACTGTCCTGTTTTCTTATAACAATCTAACAATTTTCTATCCATACAGAGGAGGCATAACCTACTTGAAATGTATTGAAATGAATAAGGTATCTTTGAGTAGGCCCATCTGTTTGCTGGGCCGAGTGTCCTGGTTTTTGGTAATCAAAATATGGTCACCCTATTAAAGACAGAATATTCAAATAAAATGTATACAGGAAATTCTAACAGAAATATCAAACCAAAACATACGGCTAATATTTGACAGTTTTAGTCACAGCGAAAGTCGCTGTTTGTACTTAAATAGGCATATGTAACGTCCTGGTTGTGTATGTGTATCCCTTGATAAGGAAGGAACAGAGGACGTAGTAGACATCGACTGGAATGGGATCACGCTAGGCAGCCTTTTGTCTTTGAGTATTTTAAAACAAGCCCATGTACATTGGCGTGCGAGATATGCATCTTAAATACGGACGTAGATGCCACTAAAGCTGCCACCCTCCAGTGCCTAGACAAAAGCCTCGTGATCCTCCTGACATTTTTAGCAGAAGAGGCTTAGGCCAAGAATTCACTGCTGTTCCACAAGACCCACTCAGTTAGACTTGGATAACACTGGGAACACCGAACAGTGATGGCAGAATGACAGCGAAAGACACAGGCTCGCCATAGGGAGCTGTACCGTGGAGAATACACATATGGGATCACCGTAGGCATCGCAACATATGGACCCCAGCCTAACACAGGTTCCACACTGCTGACGAGTGATAGGCCGAGCACCAGACGCTCCGCCATGTCCAACGCTGAGGAGTGTGGAGGAACTCATCAGAGTCCGGACAAGGAGAACTCAAGGGGTTAATTAATAATAAACGTTCTATGGGAGGAAAACTACAGACAAGAGCTATATATAACACAATGCGCAAAGTTTTATATTAATGGTATTTCCTATATATATATATATAATTATTTTAATTTATTTGAAAGGGTTTGGTCTCTAAATCTTTAAAGATAAAACTGTGTCACATTAGTAGGGTTAAAAATATAAGAACTTAAAATAACCATAAATGTATTGGTTATGGTACAATCACAAAATAAAAGGACACTTGATTCTTCAACAAAACCACAAAGTTTCACATGAGCAAGTTTCATCAATATCAAGATATTTAGATACATGAATTAAACCTGTCGCTCATATCTTTTAAGTTGTTGCTCTTGGGAAAACGTCAGCATGGCAGATGTCCAGATATCATTTATACTTAATGTGATCAGGCTATAAAGTACCTACACTTTTAGCACTCGTCAAGTTAATTGGAAATAAGTACCTACCCAATGAGTATGTGGTTTAGAATAAAGCCATGGTCCAGCCATATAAAGGCAAGACAAGTTTACATATCACTCAAAACTGCAATTCCCAGAATTCTCCTGCTCATCACCTGCACTTAATTACCCATCCATCATCCTCACCTGCACCTGATCAGCACACTCATCACCACAGTATTTAAACACACCTCAGACACTTTGTCTGGTTTAATGTGGATTACTCACCGGTCTGCTAACATGAGTTATTTATCCTCTGAGCTTTCACAAAGATGCTGTCTCCTAGTTCCCTCGTCTGTTCTCTACCTCTGAAGTTTCAGCCGGTCCTTTGAGTCCTGTGTGTGGAGGCGGTCTGAGCAAGGATGCAGGTCAGGCACTTGAGGGATTTTTTTTGAGCACCCATTTATTTTTAATGTCTTGTTAATGCACTTTCTCACACCTCATTGTTTTACAGCTGTCTGATGTCTCAAAGTCCCGAACCTGACTTGGTCAATCCCAAAACGAGCCAAGTATGACGATTGGATCAAATGTAGACCTGGATTTGATCAAAGAACAAAGTGACATCACCTTCCTCTACCTACTTCACTAAACCTTGGAGGGGTTTGAGAGCTGCAGTGGCGTCTGGGCATGCACGTGCATATAGGGGAGTTTTTTTTTTTTATTAAAACAAGGTAATTATTTTTTAAAGTTTAGTCACAATAAATATATTTTTGAATGCATGTCATGATATATTTATATAGCGTTTTCTTTTTACAGAAGTGCGGTGAGTCATTATTTCGGCCTCTGTGCTCGCGCTGGCCATGTAAGCGGCTAATGGGTGAATATGGCATTAAGTCTATTCGCGAGATGGAGCATGCGCATTTGGCTATTCGTTCTGTGTTTTCTTTTAAAACAGTTAAGCTATTTAGGTGGTATTAAAATCATGTTTTTGATGCGGTGGTGACTCTCGTAACAATGGCGATAATTAAAGCACCTATAAGCTGTCACAAAGAACCGGCAATAGGCCTATGTCAAATATAGCAAGGCAAGGCAAGGCAAGGCAAGTTTATTTATATAGCACATTTCATACACAATGGCAATTCAAAGTGCTTTACATAGAAGAAATTAAAATAATCAAAAGAAATCAGAATAATTAAAACCGTTTAGAATAAAAAAATAAGAAATAATGAAAAATAAAAATTATGATAAAAATAAAATACAGTAAATTAAAACTATTTAGAATAAAATGAAGCAAGGAGAAATTAATTGTTTATTAATAAAGATGAAGTTGACGTTGCTGACTCGCGATCTTCGCAGTAGGCTATAGCCAGGTGGATGCGCCAGTGAGAAATGCACATTTCATTTCATAAGCAGAGAGCAGTCTTTTGGTTTAGTTTCGTTTTGAATTGTTCTGTTTAAAAGTTGACATTTCAATATAGATAAACGTTTCAGGTCTGTGGAGTAGGATATACTTATAAGCTGAGTTTATATTTAGCCTATGAGACGCGCTCTGCACCGGCGCCTGCGTGTAGTGATTACCTATAATTGTTTTCTTTTACTTGTGTATTAATTTACTTGCTTATTTATTAAATCTAGGCAATTTGTTGATGAAACATTGATTAAAATCAAGATAAAATTAAAAGGAAAACGAAATTCACTTTTAACAAAGGCTTTGCTTTTCTGTTTGAGGTCTGTGGAAGTTTTAAGTCTGTATTTTAGTGCCGCTTCAGAGCGCTCACGTCCGAATAACGGAGAACTGTCGCGTCTGTAACAATTATTTCCTCATAAATGCGAACACGAAAAATAAAATGAGATGAATATTTTCATTAAAATGAATGTTCTGTGGAGAGCCAACCCTTCCTCATTCGATTTGCGCAGTGTAATTCACAGAATTACAAAAATATATATTTTGCCTCCAAAGTTAATTTTTTTTTTGTCATGCATGTCTATTTCCTCAATATTAAATATAAAAACGCAGGTTGTTTTTCTAATGTCTGGACTCCTTTAAAGGAGTAGCATGAATAAACGGATTTTTCCATATATTGGTTTTAAATGCTTTTTTTTTTTTTGAATTTATATTTCAAGTTGTGACTGCAAATGGCACATCCATAACGCTGGAATTCCCCAATTTTATTTTGCATATGGGCCCGGGACTGACTTGCTACGCCACTGGAGAGCAGGTATACTTGCGTGCTATGGTCATTAAATGTCTTTCTTGAGGTTAATGTGACCGTAGTCCCTCCGGCTGTTATTGATCTTTTTTCCGCGGTTGAAAAACACTGATTGGTCGACATTACAGTGTGTATGAGTCATAGATTTCAGTAAGTTACTGTATCTTTCAACACGCACCTATTGATCATTTCTGTTTTACTATTAACTAGGATTTTAAAGCGACTTGATCTGTTCACGTGCCGCTTGAACTGCTACAGTGATCGGACGCATTTAAAAACGCAATGTTTATTGTTCGAATTTCATAATAAAATTAACAGAATCCGAGAGCTGAGA